TTGCCATGGCGCTGCTGTTGCCCGCATGCTCTGGCAGCATGAAGGGGGTGGCATCCACGGGCAGGACAATAGGCTTGCCCAGCAGGAAGAGAACAGCCTATGGGGGGCACGGGGAGAGGGAGAGAAGCAGTGGGGCATCAGTAGGGAGGTGCTTCCATCATAGAACCTGAGCTCTGAGATGCCACCCACCCAAAGATGCCACATGTCCAGTCTCACACCTGGAATGCTGTTCCAGCTCCTCTCTTTTCTCCTCAACTCCCCCTGTTCCTTTAAGAACCTTCCAGAACATCAAGGACTCGAGGCAACAAGCCTCCAGCTCTGAGCTGACAAGGAGGAACTTACGTTGATATCCAAGGAAATGTAGTCATTAGTGATGTTGGGTGTATTGATCATGTAGTAGCGAACCTGGGACTCCGGACCCACAGGGGTGAGGCCTAAATGAAAACAGAATAAAGAAGAAAAGATGGCATACTTAGCATGATCTACCAGTGCCTCATGCATGCAGAAAACTCAATTATCTGACTATGTTGGTTAGCCAGACCCAGGCCAAGAAACAAACAAGAGGGGGAAAGATCCTTGAGTAAGCAAACTGAAGTTGCAAAGTGCACACACCCAAAATTGAGACAGTCACAACCTGTCGACTGACTCTTAGGTTAGACACAATTCTAATAGCTTTGGTTTCCACTCTCCCAGTGGATAGAAGACTAGAGACCCCAAATTAGAAGGAAGGAGAAGGATCATGTTAAGAAGAAACAGCCCCTGCCAAAGGCAAGAAAGAACCACAGAAAAAGATGGGAGCTCACGTTTACCAAGGTCCAGACATTTGACTTACATGGTCTCATTCAGTCCCCACCACCAGTCCTGTACGTTTAGGAACCCATTTTACACACACACACACACACACACACACACACACACACACACACACAGTACCACAATGCCTCCTATAGGAACTCAAAAGGCACAGGCCTGTTGGGGCCAGCCGAGTGGCTCAGTTGGTTTAGAGCTTGCTCAAGAGAGCGAGNCTGTTTGCATCAGCCTCTCTGCCCCCCACCTCTCTGAGCCCAGCCTCCTTCCAAGGGTGGAGGAGGCCCCTCTGGTCACACCCACAGACTCTCACCTCACGGACAAAGACCTCAGGGGTGACGTAGTGGAGGTTGACCACATTGGGGAGGGCAACTCCCATGCCCAGGAGAGCTGCAGGAGGGAAAGGAGGAAACGAGTTCAGCCGGGAGGTGGTGCCAGAGCACCACCTGGAGCACAGCCTGTGCTGAAGTCCTCAAGTGCATCGTGACACTGAGTTCCAGAAACCCAGGAGGGGGCAGCCATTATTATACCCACTTTACAGAATGGAAAACTGAGGCTTAGGAGGAAAAGGAACGTAGCTAAGATCATACAGTTGCTAAACAGCCAAGCCAAGGCGTGCACACAGGCAGCTGGACTCCACAGGCCACCCTCTTAACCTCTGAGCCTGGAGGTAGGAAGGGGACTGGGACTGAGCCTGGAGTGAGTGCGGGGCAAGAGGAGAACAGAATGGCCATACTGGGGTGGAGGGCAGAGCTCACCATTGAGGTGGTCCAGCAGGGGCTTCGCAAACACGGTGCCCATAAGTGCACGCACTTGATCCGTCTGCAGCTGCGGAGCCAAGGAGATGGGCAACCGTAGGCCCACCCCAGTGAGGGGACAGGAGAGATGGACAGGCAGGCCACACAGACAGACATACAGATGGCAGAGGCACAAGGGCAGGGAGGAGGACAGGTCACTCCTGTCCTGGCTTCTAGCAGAGCCCAACTACCCCTGGGGCCAGGTCAGCATTCTGAGCATCAGGCACCCAGGAACTGCTCGCCTGAGGGGAGCCTGTAGGACCAGCACCTGGCTGACTGACACTCACTCACGGTGTGACCAGAAGTGACTGGCAGACTGCCTGATGCCATGTGGATGGCTGCCCTGTTGGTGCTGAATGATGGACAGATGGACTGACTGTGGATACTGACTGACAGGCCAACCAACAAAGGCTGATGATGGTGATTCAGCCACATC